CCAGGGTGACTGGTCGTTGGGTCTCAGGCGACCTGCTGAAATCAGAATGGCCCTTGCCAACCCAGGACCCATTTCTAACGTGACTAGTCTGGGAGCCCCAAGGGGAAGCCGGGGTGAACTAGTCTCCCCTGTCAACTCTTTTCCCACAAGGTCCCCGCAGACTGCAATGGGCTGCAGAACCATTCAGTCTTCCTTCCTCAACATCACCCCATGAGCCTGATGGACGCCCATTAGCCCAGGGTAAGGAGTGGATGTGAAAGACGACCTTTGCCAGCTCGCTGGGTCTCGCAGACACGACAAGGGGTCATGCATATCCAGTTCTCCTTCCCTTCAGAATACGGGGTGTGTGTGGGCTTGTGCCTTCCACTCCTTGGAGTTGGGAGTGGCCACGTGACTGCTCGACCCTGAGAGACATGATGTGTGTTGTTCCTATAAGTGAATGACCTGTAAGTGCACGACCTAACCCTCCCCGCCATCCAGCCCCCGCCCCCCCCCCCCCCCCCCCCCCGCAGTTGTGGAAGTGGTTGTCCTGACATGGAATGTGAAGCATCACCTGGAAGACAGTGGCCCAGGAGACGTTAAGTTGCTGAGATTTGGAGGGCTGTTTGTTTAGGCACAAGTCCACCCTGACACAGGCCCGCTATCTGTGGGTCCTCTTTCCGCCCAGATCTGGGGAACTTGTGCTGCATCTGAAACCCACCCTCAAGGACATTTAGAGAAGTAGGCAACCTAACACTTAGAATGCTCGTTTGAGAAGTAGGACGGGTTTCTTCCTTCCGTCTGAGCAAAAGAGGCCCCTGCTGAATTCTGTAACCGAATAAAGACTGTCCCTTCACAGACATGGGACACAAGTGATGGTGATGACATTAAAACCGAAGCACAGGGGGAAAAGACACTGCCAAGTGGGAACAAAACTGCCAAGTGGGTTTAAGACCACAGTTTTTAGGTCAGAATCTGATATTTTGCACTTCCTTTTGTCTTCATTCCCTCTCCCCCATTATCTAATCTTCATTCCCCTTCCCTCTGGTTTTGCCAGACGAACTTTTATAATTGTGTCTCAGAGCAGTAATGTTGCTCACAACATACAGCATAGCAGACACTATGCGAGTTCAGCTCCTCTGGATTAATCCAGAAACGCTCGCTCTGTGGGCTGATAGGGACACATGCACTCCAGATGCTTCACCAGGACAGTGGCACAGGCATGGAGCAGCTAGGATGCCAGCACAGACAGGGAGATAAAGTCGGACTTTGCCTACATATGTCATGTACATGCCTCTCCCCCCCCCCCCCAAAAAAAAAGCTCCACATCGCACCCGAGTTCGATGAAAGTAATTAACAGCTCAAGATGCTTCATGGTATCTCATGGGTGGCACCAGTTTGGCAGATTTCCAGCTCATAAATACGGCCTGTGTCTTCTTTCTTGTGAACACTCCCTGGGGCAACTTTTCTGCTCACATCTCCTAATTCAATCTAGTAAAAGAGTAATAGCAAATTGACCATCACACCAACACACAAGATGGCTGCCCCCATGTGGACACAAGATGGCCACCACAAGATGGCCAGCAGGGGAGAGCAGTTGGGGGGGGGCAGGCCTGCAAGAGAGGGCAGTTGGGGATGATCAAGTCTGCAAGGGAGGGCAGTTGTGGGCAATCAGGCCAGCAGGGGAGGGCAGTTGGGAGGGACCAGGCCTGCAAGAGAGGGCAGTTGGGAGCGAACAAGTCTGCAGGGGAGGGCAGTTGGGTGGGTGTGTGGGGGGACCAGGCTGGCAGAGGAGGGACGTTGGGGTGACTGGGCCTGGAGAGAAGGGCAGTTGGGGGAGATCCAGGCCTGCAGAGGAGAGAAGTTGGGGGTGGGGGGACCAGGCCTGCAGGGGAGGGCAGTTAGGAGCAAACAGGCTGGCAGGGAAGCAGTTAGGCATCAATCAGGCTTGGCAGGGGAGTGGTTAGAGGGTGATCAGGCTGGCAGACAGAAGCGGTTAGGGGCAATCAGGAAGTCAAACAGATGAGCAATTGGGAGCTAGCAGTCCTGGATTGTGACAGAGATGTTCAACTGCCCATTTAGGCCCAATCCTACTGGTATTGGGCCTAAAAGGACATCCTTTAAGGGATCCCAGATTGGAGAGAGTGCAGGCTGGGCTGAGGGACACCCCCTCCCCCATGCATGAATTTTGTGCACTGGACTTCTAGTCCTATCTAATAAAGAGGGAATATGCTAATTGTCTGTCACATCAACACAAAGGTGATGGTGCCCACAGCCACAAGATGGCGGTGCCCACTCCCCTTAGCCCCATGTGCCTGCCTGTGGAGTACCCCAGAACCTTCAGCCCCCCAACCACCCAGGGCTAGCCCAAGGCACAGGCAAGCCTCAGATGGAGGCTTCCCAGCTGCCCAAAGCCACCTGAGGGTCAGGTAACCAGGGCTGGCCAAGGTTTGCACTGCCAGCAGTGGCAGCAGCAGAGGTGTGATGGGGATGTCACCTTCCCCTGATCGCCAGGTCACCTCCTACAAGAGGGGGCATGCTGGGCTGAGGGACCGCCCCTCCAGTGCATGAATTTTCTTGCACTGGGCCTCTAGTCTTTAATAATGGAGAAAGGAGAAGAAAGTGGTGATGGGGACTCTACCTTATTCTCAGCATCACAGCCCAGGCTTTTTGCAGTCACTACTCTAGCAATTCTTTTATCTGGAAAACATTCACTGAGTTCCTGCTATGTGTAGAGTATGGTGCTGAGCTCTTTAGTGAATGGAGGATGGCCAAGAGAGGTTGGAATAGATATGAAGAGAAATGTGACATGGGTGGGTGAGGGGGGAGAGAGGAAGGAGCAAGCTGCCTGGGTTCAAATCCATGTTCCATCACTTTCTAGAAGTAGACTGAACTCTTCTTGCCTTGCTCCTCATCTGGAAAGAGGGATGTTAAAGTCCTACTCTGTCAGACTGTGAGGGGATTGTGTACGCTTAGGCACGAATGGTGTGTGTCGGACATGCAGTACACTCATTAAATATTGGCATGAGGCAAAGACTGCTGAGGTCCATCCCGGCATTGTGGTTTGTGGTGAGCTGCCCTGGTGGGCCCTGGAGCAGGAGAGTGTGGGGACTGGCTCGTTAATTGCTGGGTGTAGAGCACTGTCTTAGCGCACAGGGGTCAAAAAAATAAAGTCTCCAGGGGGAAGCCATTTAATCTCTGACACGTGTAACAGAGAAGTGTTTTCCCTGTACCTTTTTCAGACACGTTTGAGTGTCCTGTTTTTACGTGTGAACTGCTCAGCTTTTCTTACTTGGTGAACAGTGAAAGTGGACAGAGACTGCATTAATAGTTACAGAAAACAAAACATCTTCCCTAATTTCTTAAAGACTCCCTTGATGTTTGAAATAGGCCAATGCATATAGTAAGAATTCGTGGGAAATTTACATTTAATCGGCTGCAAAAACTCAGCGTGTTGTTCACAAATGTTCTATCAAAGACCCCAAGTTCTCCAGAAAGCATCTCACTCAGAGGGAGGCAAAGGGCCACAGTCCGGAAAGCTAGCCTCGCCCTCTTCTGCCAGGTCTGCCCGCACCACTCACCAGCCGGTGCCCAGTGCACCCCTTGCTCCCCAGGAATACCTCCCCTGATCTCTCTTTTGCCCTTGCAGCATGAGGCCTGAATACATCCATCATGCCATTTCCTTTTATTGCTTTATGCTGTTGTTAGTAATGAGTCTTTCCCATTCCTAGTAAGAGTTCTCAGGATGGGGTTCATATCCTATTGCTTCTGAGCTTCCCTTTAGCACTTGGTCTGGGCTCAATAGCAATGAGCTGTTAAGGACTTAGTTGTTCAGCCATTCCTGACTGGTCTGTACCTGATCTGCTCACAGCACTGTTGGGTACCCCAGGAGACAAGAGACAGGATAAGATTTGATTCTAGCATTCAAGGCATTAAAACAAACAAACAAACAAACAAACAAACAAACAAATTAATTAATTAATTAATTAAAAACCCCGGAGGAGGAGCAGGTACAAAGTGACCATATAGAGGACAACTCAGGGTCAGTAAGCACTTGGGTGAGAGAGGTCCCAGGGCCAAAGGCTGGGAAGATTTGAAGGGGCCGAAGCCACCAGGCCTTGCACTGAACCAGTCTTGAAGCTTTGGTGGGAAGCCTGTGGCAGCAGGAGGGGGTCAGCTTGGTGTTGTGCTGGAAACGACTGCATTATCCTATGGGTCACCAATTGATTTATTTGCTAATTGACTGGCCCAGCTTTGGGCTTTCAATCTAAAGAAATCATTTCATCCTTTATTAAATACTGCAGGAATCTCACTCTTTGTTCTGTGGGGCTATACACAATTTATTAGTGAAACTTGCATTTACACCACAATGGTTGCACCGCTAATGACCTTCCAAATGCCACTAACACCATACATGTTCCGCTTCTCAGTGGGACCCAAACCTGTCAATGAATTCTGAGCCCGTCGACCTCCCTCTGACACAAGAACAGACCCCCGAGCCCATGGCCCTACCCCCCATCCTTCCATGATTTCATTTCTGAATCGGTTACTCTTTGGCGATCCCAATTCTTATACACCTCCTCTTTTTATTTGGTGAACAATACTTTATTCGGAAATGTTCCCTCCTGTAATTACAAATCCTGTTAGTCCTCCTCCTCCTCTCCCCAGGGGGATTGTGGGCTTTAATTAATTAATGTGGTTAAACCGATTTGAGGTGCCTGGTTGAAAGGTGCTATATAAGTGCAAATTATTATTATTATGGCTGCTGACATCCCATGGCGGCAAGGCCCACAGCCCCATGCATCTAGGGGCCGGGACAAAGACTCCTCCGTCTTCACCTTCCCTGCTAGGTCTGCGGTGGCTGGCGCAGTGGTACGAGGGCAATTCTGTTACCATCTCAGCAGCAATCAACTAATTAATCCCCATTAGGCAGGCTTCCGTTTCCTTCTTCCAGGCAGCACAGTCCTGTTTCATTTCATAAATCACGCCCCCATCAGCTCCACACAAAGGTCACAGTGTCCCTATGGCCTCTGCTGGCCTAAAAGGAAAAAAAGAGGGAAAGAAAGAAAGTTTGAAACAAAACAAATAAAACGTTGTTGTTGTGGAAATGCACCAACTTGTCACGAGCAGTCTGAGTAAGCTTTCCTCCATTTCCACACGCACCGGTCTGCGATGCTGCCCAGGTGTGTGTGAGGGTGCTGCAGCCCAGACTTGATGGCTTGCAGAAGAAGGGGAGCCTTTCCTGGGCTGGGTGGGAAGAGGTCACCCGGAGAAGCTGGAGACCCTCTTCCGCTTCCTCCTCTCTCCCTAGGTTTTTCCCCTGAGAAAACCAGCTGCCATCTGCAGCCAGGAAGTCCTCACAAAGGCAGAGGGCCGTGATTTAGATGTTTTGTGCTACACCTAGCGAGGCCCGGCCCTTCACAAACGCCCAGCACTTCCACTCCGATCGGAGCCATTGAAAGCGGCCCCGTGGGGAGACGTGGCCTCCAGAAAGGGACGCCGCTGACCAAAATGCTCCTTACAAGGTTGTGCCTCAGACCCTTTGTTAGCGTGGACGTGGGTGAGCCTCAGGGGGTCATGTCTTCATCGGCCTCCATTTATCCTCCCTATTGAAGGGCTCCTTCAGGACATCGGTCAGGCTCTGTGGGAAATGATTCGGAGAGCAACAAAGGAACTCGGGGCCCTTTGGGGGGGGGGGGGGGGAGCTGTGGAATTCAGTAAACATCTGGACACAGAAGGCCAGGTTCTCAAGCAGCCTCGCTGGGGAGATGTCAAAAGAGAGAAAGAGCTGTGTGTGCAAGGCGAGCTCTTAGTTCTGTGGCGACATTTGTTGTAGAAAAACACAGCCGCCCCAGTAGGTAGACAGGAAGATTGTTCAAAGGCTCCTCTGTCTGTCAGTTGGTGTGAGCGTCGGGCGCTGTGTCGGTTCTCATGGCCCGTGAGAGGAAATAAAAGTTCTACATGGCTGGGAGCAGCACGTGACGGGCTCATTCTGCACGTCCTGTGAATAAGTGAATAACCTGAGGTTGCATAAGCCTGTCCTGGGCGGTGCTGGGGAGCGTTTCTGCTCTCCTCAGAATCCGGGTGCACTTTCTGGTCAAGGTGCCTTGGATTCTCATCATGAGCACGTTTTAATTGACCAAAAAGAATGAAGTACTGAGCGTAAGTGATTTATGCTTCATGGTGAAATTCGGGATCTGAACTCTTGACTCTCGGTGCTCCCTTTATTGTTGAATCAATCCATTCAGAGCACATTAGTCAGCATGATTCATTAGTCACATGGCACTAATCAGCCCTCCCCAGGGTCCCCGGATCTGTCCTCAGGCGGCAAAATAACCAGGTCTCGTGGAGAGGCACTGCAGGCCATCCCATCGGCATCGGGAGTGACGCCCAGTTCCAGCCCCTCACGCTCTTGGGAGCTTCCTCAGCCATCCCAGTTAGAACGATCTGCCTCCCCTATCCTGCCATGCTCCATTGTTAACCTTGATAATATGTGTCATGTGTCACAGTTTGGCTTTGATCAAAGTTATCTTTGTTTGAAATAACTAGATGTTGAGCTTCTAAAAGGAAGAAACCTTCCCCCCCCCCCCCAGCCTCATATCCCCCATGGTTTGTAAACAATAGATACTCAACAAATACCTGAACTCACTGAAATAAAGCTTCCGTCGTATTCCAGAAAGAACACCGCGTCCTTTGGGGAGAGGTTTTCAAAGAAAATCAACAACCCGGATGCATTTAACATCCTTCCGCATTATTACCTGGGCATCCTCACAAATGCAGACTGTGACTCGGCAAGGACGGCCAAGTGGCTTGCAGCTTCTAAAGGAACATGGGTTCGGACTAACTATGGCCCAGGCCTTGGAACAGAGCTTTCCTCTGGAACCTTATTTCAACGAACATTTTGTTCCATGTTTTAAAACATTGTGGAGACAGGAAAAAACATTTTGGGGAGAAAAAAGTGTTTAGTCTGTGATTTTGGGCCCAAATTCAGACCCTGCTTTGTGCTATAAGCACTAGTAGGTGTTGTTCAAATATCTTTCTTGCTTGGTGCATAATAGCAAAACATACGCTACAGTTTCTGCTTGAGATAGATTCCATTTTGGGTAAGGGACCAAGATTTTTGGGTGCTGATCTGAGGTGCCATTACTGACTATGATGCCCCATTTCTCTGCTCTAGGCTCTACACAAGAAGGAGAGCATTTAAAAAATATATATATTTTATTGTTTTTTTACAGAGAGGAAGGGAGAGGGATAGTTAGAAACCTTGATGAGAGAGAAACATCGACCAGCTGCCTTTTGCACACCCCCTACTGGGGATGTGCCCACAACCAACATACATGCCCTTGACCGGAATCGAACCTGGGACGCTTCAGTCCGCAGACCGACAGGGAGAGCATTTTTAACACATAATATTGATGTAGCATTTCATCATTATGAACAAGCCCAGCCCTAAGGTCTGTGTTGCCTAATTTCCACTACTGGACTTGAAGAGGGATATGTCACTGCGCATGCATCTCCCTCGCTCGTAGAAATATAACCCCCCAAATTTAGCTGTGCTCCTGGCCTCCAGATGGACAACTACCCACCCTCTGACCAGCCATTCTACTTTTTGATGTAGACCCAAAGACACCCTCACACCTGCATACCAAGAAACATGTGCAACATAATTCATTCAATTAACAAATAATCGTAATTTCCATCCAGGAAGGAATGGGCAAAATGTGGTGTATTCAAACAATGGATGTGACTACCTTAATTAAAGTAAAAGAACATGATTTACGTGTATCAAGGTGGATATACTGCAACAACATGACATTAAGGGTCAAAAACAAGTTATGGCATGATGTGTGCAAGAAGCCATTTATGCAAATTTGGAATGCCTTCAAAACAAATCTCTCTTTGAGGCTAATAGCCAGAATAAAAAAAAAAAAAAATGGACCTAGCAGAGGGCCAGCTTGGGAAGATGTCACACAGGGAGGAGGTGTGAAATGAATGTTTAAAGGGAAGAAGAGAACTGGGCAGACGGGAGTCCTTCCTTGTTTCCTTTGGGAGGCGCCTCACGGAGCAGCGGGCAGAAGCTGTGGGGAAATGCTCGGGCCTGCATTTCTGGGCTGCAGTGGTGCCAGCAGCCCCGGGGACAATGCACCAGGCCTGCTCTGTTCTCTTTGCTGTGACCCCTGGGCGAGAAGTTCACTCTCTCTGCTCCACTGACTCCCAGGGCTCTCTGCCCAGGCTCCCTTGAGAATGCCAGGCTGTGCCAAGTATGTGGGTGGTATTTACCAGGCAGACACCTTCATACCTGGATGGAAACAGATTGAGAATCTTCTGGGTCATTCTGAGTCCACCAGGCAGAAAACATTTAGATGGGTTACTGATTCAGACTGAAATCTGATGAACTCAGATGGTGGTATTTTGGGGGGGCGGGGAGGAGAGGAGGGAGGAGAATTTTTCAATAAATCATCCTGTTGGCTCGGTGACTAAGAAAATGGAGTAGAAGAATCTAACCCAACTTTGTGACAAGGGAACAAACACAGGAGATTAATGTCCCTCCCAATATGCTTTAAAAGGCAATCAAACATCCACCCTGCATTTACAAGAAAGATGAAGCCACAGTGCTCCAGCTCTTTAAAAAATCATGGTTTGACCTCTTTGTTTTCTGCTTTCTTCCAAGTCCCTACACTAGGTGGCTGGGAAAACAGGAAACTAGCTTTGTTTCCAGAACCTTCTCTCTCAGGGTCCCCGGCTCTCCTTAGGTTCCCCCGTCTCTATCCCAAGGTGTGTGGGGCTCACTCAAACCTAAACCAGCAGAGAACAGCCCCAGAATCCAAATTCAACCTGTGAAACCTGGTCCTGATTAAAAAACAAAAACAATGTAAAAAAAATAATTCTGTTGTGCTGAGAAAATAAGCCATTATCTTCTGTCCTGTTCAAAGCAGCCTGGCTTTTGTCTTTCAAATGCCCCTCAGGCCTCCAGGAAAAGGAGAGCACAGCAAAGGCAGAGTGAGCAAGGAGGAGCCCCATCCTCTTCATCCTCCCGGCAGCCGCTTCTTTAGGGTCTGCTTTTCTACCCAGGTGTTGGGCCTGACTGCTCTGAGCCCCACAGCAGCCTGGATGGCCCCAGTTTCCCCAGGCTTCCTGCAGCATCAGCCACACAGCCTGGCTGCTTTTTAATTTTTTTTAAAATATCTTTTTCCTAATTTCAGAGAGGAAGGAAGAGGTAGAAACACCAATGATGAAAGAGAATCATTGACCAGATGCCTCCTGAATGCTCCCTACTGGTAATCGAGCCAGCAACCCAGACATGTGCCCTGACTAGAATCGAACTGTGACCTCCTGGTTCATAAAAGCCGGGCCAGCCTGGCTTTTATTAATTTTTATTTTTTTTAAATATATTTTATTGATTTTTTTTTTTTTTACAGAGAGGGAGGGAGAGGGATAGAGAGTTAGAAACATCGATGAGAGAGAAACATTGATCAGCTGCCTCCTGCACACCTCCTACTGGGGATGTGCCTGCAACCAAGGTACATGCCCTTGACCGGAATCGAACCCAGGACCCTTCAGTCCACAGACTGATGCTCTACCACTGAGCCAAACCGGTTAGGGCAGCCTCGCTGCTTTTAATGATAGAACCTTTATTCCTGATCTTGATGCAGAGGCCCAGGGGTCCCAGCTGTGTTCCGGGTGGCAAACACTTGGGGCTCCCAGGGAAACAATGGACAAGACTAGAGCAGATGCGGGTCATGTTGGAGTCTGAGTCTCTCCCTCCCTCCTGCAACCCTGCGGTTCTGTGGGCCCACCCTGCTTTTCCCTCTGCACTTGGTCCTGGCACCCTTGGCTGGCCTGGGGGCTGGCCATGCCTCTAAGCTTTTCCACTCTCAGGTGCTGATGTTTCATGGGGAGCTATAGGGACAAAGTTAAAATGGATTAACGGCACCTACCCCTTCACCTTCCCACTTCAGTTGCACAAACAAGCTGGACCCCCCTCTGCTGGACTTGGCCTCTCTCAGAGTCCAACCATCAGAAAGAAGCTGGTGGCTGTGAGCTCCTTCTCCTTTGGGGCCTAAGAATTTCCCAGGTCTTGGACCCAACCCTGAGAGGCCAGGATGCCCAACAAGTGCAGAAAGACAAAGAAGATGCAAACTGAGGGGTTACCATGGCAATGGCCAGAGCCAGGGAGCCTTCTGAAGATGCCTGGAGGGTGGGTTTTCTTTCTTTTACCTTTTCTTCTTTTCCCGCAAAAGGAGAATAGTTCCGCTCTCTATTTTACTACAACAATAGCATGGACCAGCTCCTTCAAGTGTTTCAAAAAGCAGCCTGAGAAATCTCTAAGCAAGCCCCTCATGTCTCCTGCCTGCCGGTTTATTGTTCCTCCCTCAGGCCCAGGGAACAAAGGTGGGGGGAGGCTATCAGGCCCCATGGCCCCCTGCTCCCAGCATCCTAATCCTTGAAAACCGGTGAGAGGAGTGGCCTGCAGAGTAGGGAAATTGAATGTTGGCCTCACCTTTTCTTCCCTCCCTCTCTCCCTCTACTATGCAAGCCTGAGCTCGGCAGGTATTATACAATCTCCGCCTAGCAGGCCAGCAGGAATCTCTGGGCTTACCAGGGGGAAGAAAGGCACTGAGGGATCCTTCCCACATTCGCTAATAGTCCCTCCCTCTCCCCTCCTGGCCCCAGTTGCCTGTTTGGTTTCCTCCTTCCCACCCTTCCAAGCTGCCTCACCACAGTGGAGCCACAGGTGGCAGGGCTGGCAATTCCTCTTCTAGCTGGCACCACCCTCATCTTCCTGCCCTTCCCCTCTCTGCCACCCAGGCAGGACTGCCACACTGTCTCCCCCCCCCCAGCTCTCGGTACCAACCTCCATGCCAACTTAGGGCTCTCATGCCAGAGCAACCCCTCACACACAAAAAGCTTATTGGCCTCGACGGCTGGTACCTTTCCAAGGTTACCACCCAGGGATCAAAGGTTTCTTTGCTTTAATCCTGGAGAAATCTGCAGGTGTTTTCTAGCTCAGTCATCTGGTAAATGTGTGTGTGTGTGTGTGGGGGGGGGGGGATAAGCTTTTATGTTCCCGTGTGTGGAGATCTGGAGGAGATAGCCCTATGGGCCGGCCGAGTGAACGATAAGTACACCATCTCCTCGGGGAATCAGATGCGGCAGACATTGGGAAGGCTTTATAGATCGTTCAGGCCAGTGACTACAATCCAAGGAAGAAAAACATTTGCATTGAGGCCTCCATGCAGAAACTGAAAATGCACACACACAACCACACAACAGATATTTCACGAAATAATACAATATGCTGGCTGGGACTCATTCATTTCATTTTACCACCCAGAAATGGGTTGTGACACAATTTGCAATGCACTGAATCAAAGTCAACACTGTCATATTTAAGCTGAACAAAACTAGATTTTCTCAAGTTCACTCCAGAGCTGTGTGATCAGATATCCAAGGGGGTCTCTCCAATAGCGGAGGGGTCCCCATTTTTTCTGAGGGTCACACCTTTTGATTTCCCCAGTCTTAGGAGCATGCAGCCGGAGGAAAGGCCTGCCCAGAGGTGTGTACTCAGTGACATTGCTGACAGGGGCCGAAGGGTTTTGCTGGCTGGGAAAACCCAGAGATGGAGGTGCAGCTTGAGGGCGTGGGGTGGATAAAACAGCTTTCAAAGCAACCAGGGGAGCGCTGCAGCCCCTCAGACATTTTCCCTGATCCCTTGGGGTTCTTGGATCATCAGACACTTTCCTGAATTTTTTTCTTCCCTAGACACACAACTCGAGGTCTGCCTCATTTAGTAACTCATTTTCTCTCCAGTTTTCCAACTTTTTCTAATATTCTTTGTAGTTTTTTAAACCTCTACCGATTTAAAAGCCTCTACTTTCTCTAACAACTTCATCTTTCCTGTCAAAGTCACGATCCTAGCAATGGTGTCAAAGAGGCAACCCTGTGAATGTTGTTTCCACAAACACTATCCTAAAAGTTCTCCGAACTAGACATGCCTTTTACCACAATACCCAGGACTCAGGATTCTCAGCACAAGGCATCCGGGTAGAACCGGCTCTTCCCCCTGTCCCTCACTCTAAAATTGTCTCCTGATCTTCCACAGAATTTCTTGAAATCTTCACCTAAATTTGCTATTTAGTAGACCTTTAATCTTTTAAGAAAGGCTCTCAAAACCAAGAGCCAAAGCCACACGGTGCACTGGGTAAATAAAACTCTAGCCTTCTGATGGCTTATTAGTTATACACCCTCAGAGACTATGTAACAAAGGGGCCTGCTGTTTGCTTTGCTTAATCTGGTCTTAAAATCTCAGCTTCTTTGTCAGAAAACAATATTTGCAATTGTAAAAAAAATATTTACTGAGGAACTTGGATAGCATAAGTCAAAGGCTAAGAGCCAAAGGTCAGTAGTTCTTACCCCAAATTTCCCCGGCCCCGAGTCCCTGCTGAGGAGCTCAGCTGCATCAAACAAACACTCTGCTCTCAGGCCAGGACCGAGCAGGCGCTTTCGGAGGGGAGGGAAGGGAAGGCTGCGGCCTGTGCGCAGACAGAAGCACAGACTCTCCAGCTCCGGCTGGATCTCTGCAGTGCACTGTGTCTCCCTGGGATGTTACACATACTCACCCTGTTTCACAAACCTGGGGAAAATGCTCAGCTCATAAATCCCACAGGGCAGATAGTGCTCCCACGGACAGCAATGGCAGTGTGGTCCTCTGTGGTTCAGGCTACATGGCTACCTAGGCATCTCTGTGGGCAGAGCCTCCTGCCTGGCAGTGGGGGACAGATGTGTATCCTGAGCATTTCTGTGGGGAAGCTTCTCAATGGACCAAGCAGTTTAGGACCCGATGGCCTAAGCTCATTAGTGTCTGAATTGATCTCATGTTCACTTTTTTCTGGGCAGACCTGTGGTTGGATGCCTTTCCTATCTGCCAGAGGACCCAGCATCTGGGAGTGAACCACCAGAGCAGACCCGTAGTTCCTGGGTGCTTTTCCACGAGCCAGGACTCGGCACCTTCTGAGCCCCAGCCCCATGTCATAAGGTGGATGCCAATAAGGTTTGGCCTCTAGTCTGGATTTGAGCACAGGTCCCTCAGCCTGCTAAGCAAGAGGCTCTGAGGTGGTACAGAGTCCTTACCCCAGGGTCCCAGACTCACCCCTGCTCCTCACTCCAGGATCTGCGAGGGGACTGGGCAGCAGCAGTTCCGAGCCTGGTTGGTTTGACCCTTATTCTGTTAGAAAATTCTACAGTTCTCTCTAAGCCCCACAACCACCTTCTTCAAATTCTTGCCACAACTGCCAGTCTCTTTCATCTCACCAGGATAAAGACCTTTGATTCTGTCCTGAAATAGTTTTTGATCAGGAGCATAGCAGTAATTACCACCAGCAGTGGGCACCACTGAGCACATTCGGCTTAAAGAAAGGGCTTCCTCCAAGGATCTTACCTTGAAGAACCAGGCCTTCCTTCTCGATGGTGTAGACAAAAGAGGCGAAGGGAGCCAGCGGGGACTTGGCGATGAGAATCTGTGCATCAAACACATTGCCCAGGGTTAGTCCAGGAGAGATCAGAGGGGAGCCCCATTCAGCGCCCCCTTCCCTCTTTGAGACAAACTGGTACCATATGACCACAAGTGATAAGGTTTATTTATGTTTATAAAATTATCTTAGAATCAAATGAGTGTTATTCTGTCAATCAATTGATTACCTTGGAAGGCTATACATTTATTCCAATTATTCTGCCCTTGAAGGCCATATTCTTGAGCCAGATTTTCTAGAAATAAATTTCATTATTGTATGTCATGTGCTTCAACAGTTATCTTTCTGTCCAATCAATGATAAAACTAGTCTAATTTTGTTCATAAACTTAGCTATTTTACTAAAAATTTTTCCAAAGCTCCCTTAAGAGATAAAGACTTACCATAATTGAGGATATTCAAAATAACTTAAGAAAGGCAAATCCATGGGAGGTTGCATTCTTGACCCCTACTCTTCATCCAATCTATATTCACCCCTTTTCCCATGTAACTACGTTCCTCTTGGTTAAGGTGTAGAGCAGTGGTTCCCAACCTTTTTTTGGCCAAGCTCCACCTAAGCATCTCTAAAATCCTGATGCCTCCCCTTCCCCTGTCTGTGACATATAATTCTTATTCAAAAAGTGAATGCCTATTCATATGGAGGAAGCCTAAAAGGCTATTAACTTGGTCTAAAACAGGCTTGACACAAAGAACATGACATCCATGAAAGAGAAAAATGAAAGACCAAAAGGACAGTTAAAGTACTGAGGAAGAAATTACTAAGAAATTGTTTTAAAAAATAAAATGAAGAGATATGAAAAAATAGCAACTCAAGTTTCAGAATATGTAATAGAGAACTGAAATGCATCAACATGTCACAATATATATTTATATACTGTAGATGAGACCCCTAGAACCATAATAAATGCAAAAAATTCACTGGTAATAACTCATTCTTGAATTGCCCCATTTAAAAATCAAGTTGCCCCCCTGTGTGGGGGGGTGCCCCATGTTGGGAAGCACTGGTGTAGAGTATTTCTCATGGCCTTTGACTGTGGGTTTGGCATATGACTTGTTTGGATCAACAGGCTGTGCCAGTTCTCAGCCTAGGCCTCAAGAAGCCCAATATACCTCTACTTATTCTCTGATGCCTCTGGGACTGTTAGAAAAAGACTATATCCAAGCTCACCTGCTGTCTCAGGAGGAGAGTGAAAGACACCTGGAACAAAGCTGGCCTGCGGGCCCATCCCAAATAGTGACCTCAAGGAGATGCACAGACACATTGGTGAAATGCTCATTGCTGCATGCCTCTGAGATTTGGGTATTGTCATGAAGCATACTGCAGCAAGAGTTGACAGACATACCAGTCAACACAAAATACCAAAAATATTTTGAGCAATGGCATTCTCCTAAGAAGATACCTACCTTAAAAAGGATGGTCATTTGATCATTATCTCTAACCCTTTACTGGTGGGTTATTATCACATTTCTCCTAAAGGAAGATGAACATCAGCTTCCTGTTCTACAAATTAACATTATCAAAAATAGTGACAGTTTGGCACAGAGCTACTTAGGTAATCAGGGAGGCAAGGAAGAAGGAAGAAAGGATTTCAAATAACCAAAAGGCTCACATGCACTATCTCAATCTATCTCAAGTCAACAAATATTTATTGACTGTCAACTCTGAGAAATGGTGGAATAATGTGGTGAAAAGATCACAGGTTTTAGTCGTGGAGTCTGAATCTCTCTGTGCTTATGGCAAGGCTTGTGATTGTCCCCTAATAGCCACCCCCCATCTTCTTTTTAGTAAATATGTCCTCAGGTTTCAACATTCCTCTGCCTATTTTGCAGCCAGGGAGGCCATTTGATTAATAGAACAGGAGTGTAAGTATCAGGGAGAACTTCTGACTTACATTTTCATAAGAAAATGTGTGCTCTTCACTTTCCCTTCCCCCTTCCCAAGGGCAGGGATAGATTCAACCACATGGATGTGGACACCTTTGGGGATGACAGAGCCATCCAGGAGAAGGAAGCTGGGCGACCTCCTAAAGCATCAATGCCTCCCCCCTGGGGCTACCTGTCTACCTCAAGACAGAGCCACTGTGAACCACTGCATTTTGGAGTCTTTGTTACCATGTGGTAGTCTGAATTCTAACCAATACTGTGGCTCTGGACAACCTAACTTTTTTTGAGTATCAGTCTCCTTGCATGTAAAATAGGGATAATACCACCCACCTACATGGGATTATTGTGAGGATTAAATTCAGTCTATAAAATGCCTGTTACTGTGTCCAACTAACAAGAAGATTTCCAAAAACTCATCATATATGCTTCCCAAGCACTCCTTAACGTTCACTCATCAAGACCCAATATTCTTTGCTTTTACCAGAAGGATTCCACTTAAAATGAATCTCAATAATTTCTACAATTGTTCCAAAGATATCTAGATAAACTTGCTCATGGTCCCTCAGCCTCCTAAGCAAGAGGGCTCTGAGGCAGTGTGGAGTCCTTACCCCTGTGTCTGAGACTCACCCCTGCTCCTCACTCCCATTTGGCACTATCAATGTATAGATAGAGTAAAAAATATCTCATGTCAAAAGTATCTCACCTTTAAATTAAGATGGAGACTTCCTGATAGAGACAGTTGGGGATCGTTCAATGTGAAGGTAATAGATATGCCTGGTTGGGGGGGGGGGTGGCATGGGAGAAGAGAGGACAGTGCTCTCAAACTTTAATGGGTATGAATGGGTCTTGTTGACAGATTCTGAATCATAGGCTCAGGTGGGATCTGAAAATCCACATTTCTAACAAGTTCTCAGGAGGTGCTGCTGCTGTGGTCCATAGACCACATTTTGAGTAGTTGGGCTCCAGGAAACTAGCCTGATGGAAGAACCTGAGATGGAGAAGCAAGAGACAGAGTCCCAAAGCCAGTTAGGAGGCTATTGTGATCATTCAGTGATGAGATGACAAGGGCCTAAACTACAACTGCTGCGCTAGCAAGAAAGAGGGAAAAGGAGGTCCTTCCAGATGTGAGGTGGATAAAAGATATATAAACCCTTTAGATCGAAGAACAACAGAAATAAACTAAACATATCCAAAACTTTGGATCTTTATTGTCTACATGAAGCAACTAGTATAAATAAATAATAATCAGTAAAGTACCCTAGTATATTTTTTGAAAGCTATATTATCATTTTTATTTTATAAACTGCAAAATTAAAACCCAGGGGGGAAGGATGTGATGTTTCAGTGCAACACAACAAATAACATCTGGGCCTCAGGGTGCTGCTGCCAACATGACTGCGCACTTTCCAGGGAGCACGGGCCCACTCTGAGCAAGTGCAGCACCCTGGCCACGAGAGCCTCATCAGGAGGGACCGCACATCTGGAAGGACCTTCTTTCCAGGGAATCAAGGGGTTTGGACAGGCCACTGATTAATGCCGCACCCTTCTCAAGCAGGGTTTAGAATGGGTCATTGAAAGAATGATTTGTGTGCAGTTAGAAAAAGGAAGTGATCAGTTATGTCAGATGAACCCTACTTCCTTTCTTTTAAGACAGGAGAGAACTCCCAGACTGATGGACTGACAGCAATGTGGTGAGGGGCAGCAACCTCTAGCAGAATGTGCTGTACTGAAGTCTTGGTTCTGTCATATTCCACATTCTTACGCTAATGTACTCAACCACATCCATACAACACACATGGAACCAGCAGAGAACAGAACTGACAAAAATCGTTATCCAAATAGAGCTTATATTCTAACGAAGGCAAAAGATAATAAACAAAATAAGTAAAATATATGGTATGTTAGATGATTATATGTGTTAGATGATTATATAATCATATACATGATAACATGATGGAGAAAAAAAAACAGAGAAAACATTCACTGGATAAAATTTAAATAGAGTGGTAAGAGAAGAATTCACTGAAAAAGTGACATTTGAATTTGGGGTCATGTGACTAAACTCATTGATGGAATACTGAATATGGTAACAGAAGATGAAAAATATAAAGAGATAACATATTAGACAATCATGACATCAAAACACATCTTAGTTTGGTTAGAATATTTGAACCAATCCTACAAATCTCTTAGGATGCAATTTTATTGAAATATATGTAAGGCATTTTCCTTGAGAACAAGGACCAGCCATTTTTACAGAATGGGGAGATGAGATTTAGCTTTCAGAAGACGGGAAGGGAGTTTTAGTTAACTATAGTGCAATACAAGTTCATTGTGAGATGTGGTTCACAAAAAACTAGTGTGGTCTCCAGTTGTATAAATGGAGACAATATCTACAGCAAGGAAGTAATGATCCGGCTCTGCTTCTCATTCAGTAAAGCATGCTGGGTGTGATGTGTCTGGACTGGAGTCCAAATTTCAAAAGGGAAATTCACAGACAGAACAAGTGGAGGACCACCAAGATGGTTAGACCCAAAGCAACCCATGACCACAAACACTTCAATGCCAACGCTATGGTAAGAGGTCTATCTAGCATGAAGGTGCATACTGCTTTTAATACGAGTGTTCTGATCTGGATACTCTATAGTGCTACTTGGTAGAGAAGGGAAGTGTGAATTAGCTTTAAGACGAACAGATTTCAGAAAGAGTGATGCTTGCCATGTATCTTTGTGTGACTACAGATAGACTATTCCTTGTTTCAGACTTGAATCAATACCCCATGCTCTGTGCATTTATGCCTTTCAAACTACAAGTTATCCTCTTCCAAGGCAAACAATCCTTCCTAGCAGTTATTTCGGGCTGTTCTGTTTCAGATGTTCCGTCATGCCATAAAGTTGGGGTGTTCTAATCATTGTCCGGCTTGGGCTGTTGTCAAATGTCATTCTATCTTCTTCAATAGGTAATGTCCTGCAGGAAGGACCTGGCTGTTTATTTAAACTCTGGACCCCTGGGAAACAATTTTATCGCTCTGAACCCTGTGTGCAACATGTGAAGTTGGCTTTGGATCACTCTGAGGATTCATGGAAATATGTAGTCGGCCAAGCA